ATTGTCACTCAGCCCATTAGCCTGGCCCTCCCCTCCGTGGCTATCCACTCCACTTCCCCGCTCCATGGATCTCTCTGCCCGATGGCTTTTGCTGATCCAGTCGTCTCTTCACTTGTGCTCCACCTCTCGCCCTCATCCACACTCCTGGCTCCACACCCCTCCCCCTCCCCTATTCCTAGCTCCACCCCCCCCTCCCCTATTCCTAGCTCCACCCCCCCCCCCCCTTACAATCCTGCCCCCCCCCCCCCCCCCACCTACACTCCTGGTGCTATTCAAACGGATTTTGTATACTTGTCTATTGGACCTGAAATATATACTTGTCCATTTCGGTGAACGTAAAGGCCAGTTCCAGGCACGTACGAACACACACTTTCAGATGTTATAGGTACGAATCCGTCCGTTGGCTGGTACACTACACGGCTCTGGGCGCGGGAGTGTGGGTGTTGCACTACGCAATTTGTTAAACAATTATCTGGTACAGTTAACTTATGTTGTGAGATCTTTACATCAAGAGAGTTTATATAATGACCTGTTCTTATGCAACCCGTCCTCGACTCAAGTCCATTACATCCAGCGGTCGACCCCCACAGACGCATTCATAAATTTTAACATGCTGTTCATTCAAAACGGGAATTTTCTCAAATATAAATGAATATTATAATAGTATATTGTGCATATATAGGCATAGGTTGGGTTAGGTGTTTAGGTTCAGTTGGCGATTATTTGTAGTACGTGGGTGAAGCATTTAGAGCGTTGTGGTTCGTGCAAAATTCGTCAGTGAAGCACTTGTTCCGGAAGTGTTCGAGCGAAATCAGTTGAGTCGTGTGTCTAAACCGGTTTTTCATTCATAAACAGGTTTGGCGGGTGCATGGACTCACTTTTGGGTCTTGGTAGGACGGGTTGTCTTATGACTCTTTAGCCTTCTGTTGACCTATCCCCGTTGAAATTGTTTACCTTCATGTGTGACCTCTTCTAGTGGACCTTTTTTAAGTCTTAGAACTATTTTATAAGCTACAAACTTTCTTTGACGTAGTATTGATGTCTGTGCCCCGTTCCCCGAGAATGCCCCTACATGTTGACTTCCCCATGACTGCATACCCTGCTAACTTCTCACCGGTGACTCGGTACAACGTCGCCTCTCCCCTTGAAGCACCGCACCATTAACTCTCTTCCTCCTTGCATCTTGCCCTGCCTCCCGCCCTCCCTGTCTGCCTGTCCGCCCCTGTGGTAGGAGCCTAAACCTTTCTGCCCTGGTAGATATGGCCGGCCGCACTCTCTCCCACATCACTAATACTTTTTTTTCTGCCTCCTGCTCCTGAGAAATGCATTTAGCTCCCTCCTGCCTCTCTGCCACCCGTAGACGCTCTCGGCTGTCTTGCCTGCCTCACGGGCTTTGGAAATTCCCCCGGACTAGCTTTATATATAATTTGCTGTTGACTTTGTCAATCAGCTAGAAGCGATAAACTGTTAGATCAATCTTTCTAATCCATTTTTTTGAGAATAATCAACCAATTTATTGTAAATGCGACATATTATTAGTAAATTTCAGTCGGTGTTCATCTCCGTTACTGAAACAAACTTCGTTTTCTTGTTTTAATTGAAAATTTTATCGAGAGGGAATAGTATTTTGGGGCAGCGGGACTCCTCGTACGATTGAACCTGCCTGACAGTGTGAGCCGAAAAATACATTTAATTTCGTATATAAAACAGGCTAACGTTTTTGGTCTCTTTAGGGGACGTAGCTTAGGTAAAGTTGGTTTCACTATAAAAAAAACCAGCAAAACCTCTTAGTCATATGTAACTCCAGTTAATTATTCATATTGCAATTCAACATGCAGGTCATAATCCTACGGGCTCGCCATAGCCCGTGCTACTTGCAACTTTTTGTTCCCAGTAGCTGAATCTTAAACAACAACAACAACAGGTCATAATCTTGGTCCCACAGCTCCCTTACCCCCCTACCCTGTGCCAAATCTGATCAAGTGACGTTTTTTGTTCATGTTGAATCTTATGATCCCTTAAATTTTGATCAAGTGACGTTCATGTTATTATGATCAACATATCAAATCTTCGTAGGATCAACGTTACATGAACATCGCTGCTTTAACGTTCCTGAAACTATTATGCCCGCCGGGTATTGGGTCGTTCCTTCCAAATATACCCACACCCAGCAGGGACTCTGATCCCAATATAACAATAATTATTTAGAGTTTCTCATAGTTCTCTCCCCTCTCATTATTCTCCCCCACTTCCCCTCGCATCGTCTCCACCCACCCCTCCCCCTCTCATCATTCTCTCCCCCCTCCTATCTCTCTCTCATCACACTCTCTCTCCCATACTCTCCATCAGCAGGTCACGAAGGTTATCCCCCCTCTGATCTCTGGTGAGTATTCCCCTCATTTGCAGCCGTATCCTAGCACGCTGACCCGTCTTCTCGCTGTCCTTTGTCCCTCCCCCCCCCCCCCTCTCTCTCTCTCTCTCTCTCTCTCTCTCTGTCTCTCTCTGTCTCTCTCTGTCTCTCTCTGTCTCTCTGTCTCTCTGTCTCTCTCTCTGTCTCTCTGTCTCTCTCTCTCTCTCTGTCTCTCTGTCTCTCTGTCTCTCTCTGTCTCTCTGTCTCTCTGTCTCTCTGTCTCTCTGTCTCTCTGTCTCTCTGTCTCTCTGTCTCTCTGTCTCTCTGTCTCTCTGTCTCTCTGTCTCTCTGTCTCTCTGTCTCTCTCTCTCTCTGTCTCTCTGTCTCTCTCTCTGTCTCTCTGTCTCTCTCTCTCTCTCTCTGTCTCTCTGTCTCTCTGTCTCTCTCTCTCTCTCTGTCTCTCTCTCTCTCTCTCTGTCTCTCTGTCTCTCTGTCTCTCTCTCTCTCTCTGTCTCTCTCTCTCTCTCTGTCTCTCTGTCTCTCTCTGTCTCTCTCTGTCTCTCTCTCTCTCTCTCTCTCTCTCTCTCTCTCTCTCTCTCTCTCTCTCTCTCTCTCTCTCTCTCTCTCTCCCCACCTCCCTGGGCGTCCTCTGTGTGTGTATTCACCTAGTTGTGCTAGCAGGGGTTGAGCTCTGGCTCTTTGGGCCCCGCCTCTCAACCGTCAATCAACTGGTGTACAGATTCCTGAGCCTACTGGGCTCTCATATCTACAACTTCGTGCTTTCGTTGTGTGTTTGGCGGGCAGGAAATAAGGCAGGGTCAGGGCTAGTAGTATCTAGCAGGGTCAGGGCTAGTAGTATCTAGTCTAGTATCTAGCAGGGTCATGGCTAGTAGTATCTAGTCTAGTATCTAGCAGGGTCAGGGCTAGTAGTATCGCAGGCCACACAGTCAGGACTGCGAGGACTGCCTGGCGGAGAGAGTGCCTGAAGAAAGGTATTGATGAGATAGGCGTCTCAGCAGTTTCGCCTACACAGAAAATGGATCGAGCTGTAAATTGAGCAGCTTACGTGAATTACAAACAGTGTGAGGGGAGGATGAGGGGGAGGGGGGGGGAGTGATTCTGTGACAAGCGCAGAGGAGTGAGGTGGTCTGTGCTTCAGTGCTGCCATCTGTGCGCCACACTATTGCACTCTCCAATATCGCGTCAACAATGCGGATACTCTCCATGCTTTCTACTCTGTTTTCCGATTTTGCGGCTTTCCTGGGGTCAGATTCACGAAGCAGTTACGCAAGTACTTACGAGCGTCTACATCTTTCCTCAATCTTTGATGGCTTTAGTTACATTTATTAAACAGTTTACAAGCATGAAAACTTCCCAATCAACTGTTGTTATTGTTATAAACAGCCTCCTGGTGCTTCGGAGCTTATTAACTGTTTAATCATTGTAAACAAAGCCGCCAAAGATTGAGGAAAGATGTACAGGTTCGTAAGTGCTTGCGTAACTGCTTCGTGAATCTGGCCCCCAAGTTCCTGTACAAATGTTGTACACAGGCATCTCTAATGGGTGATGCTAATCCACAATTTCAGTCAATAGTATACACAAGCTACTGAGAAATTCAGGAAAAGTTAATTACCAGCGAAACTGCCGTTTTCAATTGCCTCATCAGCTCGTCCTCGGTCCAAGTCCATTCCCTCCAGCGGTCAACCCCCCCAAAGATGCATTCGTAAATTTTAACATGCTGTTCATATATATATTATATATATTTTATATAATATATATAAAGGGATACCACCTCTGGTGCAAGTGTAGGGACCCATAGCCTCGGAGAAAAAAATAAAGAGTACTCAGAGAAGACCTTGTGGATCCTCACTGAACACTTTGATATTTTCTTCTCCTACCACCCCTATTCTTTTAGTGTGTGTGTGTGTGTATCTAACTTTATTTTAAAACTTCATTTTTAAACTTCATGGGAATTTAAAAAGGTAAATTATTTAACGATCTGCGGCTATCGAAGGAATATTTTCGGGCAATCTTTTGCCCGAAACGCATTGCGTAATAGTGGCTTTAGGCATTGTATGTACTAGCTCTATCTATATATCAATCCATTAATGTAACATCACTTGTATGTATGTACCTTACCTGAATAAACATATTTATTTATTTTATTTATTTGAATACGAGTCGGGGCGTGTGTCTGGAGCCATCATGGTCGTTCCTAAGAGAACCAGAGTGAACACATTTGATATCTTAGAAGCTCTTTTTGTCTTCATATATAATGTAGCAGATCCAAGACACGAACCATTCTCCGGTACTTTGATTATTTCAGTTCATTCCTAGTTTTTGCAAAGGCGAGTTATTTTTATGAGCTTTGAGCTAATTTTAACGTATATTAGGCTAATGTTAGCCTATTTTAAGCTAAATTTAGTTTATTTTTAGGTAAATTTACTTTATTTGTAGGTAAATTTACTTTATTTTTAGGTAAAATTACTTTTTTTAGGCCAATTTACTTTGTTTTTAGGTCAATTTGGTTTATTTCGTTTATTTTTAGGCAAGTTTAGTTTATTTTTAGGTCAATTTACTTTATTTTTAGGTAAATTTGGTTTATTTTAAACCTGTCAGTCAATTGTGTGCAATGTTGGTGGTGTTACAGGTTGCGCGCGGGAGCTGCGCGTGAAGGGGTGGCCAGAGAGGGTGTGCGACGGTGTGGTGGACTGCGCCGACATGTCCGACGAGGACCAGTGCTCCAACTGTGGCTCCAAAGCCTTCAGGTAATGTTTACTAGGACCCGCGTGTGCGCTCACTGCGCTCTCGTGCTCTCGTAAGATTAAGCTTTATGCAGGTCAACAAATGAACAAAAGCCGTGACGAGGGTTCGAACCTACGTCCGAAAGGATCCCAGACGCTGCCTGACTGAGCTACGACATGGTAAAAAGCTTTACCATGCAGTATTTAAGGTTATCGGCGTTTTTCTCCGCCGTCATCAGGGTATGTGACGTGATGGAGACTATGTATACACACTGGGTAGCATTGTAACGGAATTTACGGGCTCGCCATAGCCCGTGCTACATGGACACGTCGTTCCGAGTAGCTAAATCAAAAACGACATCATGTGACGGAATTACCACGCCTGTGGTACAGCAGGGGCCAGGAGCCAGATCCATGAAAGAGCTTACCCAAGCACTTACGAACGTGTACATCTTTCCTCAATCTTTGACGGCTTTGGTTACATTTATTTAACAGTTTACAAGCGTGAAAACTTCCCATTCAACTGTTGTTATTGTTATAAACAGCCTCCTGGTGCTTCCGAGCTCAGTAACTGTTTAATAATTGTAAACAAAAGCCGCCAAAGATTGATAAAAGATGTACAGGTTCGTAAGTGTTTGCGTAAGTGCTTTCGTGAATCTGGCCTGGCCGAGTGCTTCTCCGTTGATATAGCTGATGACCTTTAGCACAGTAGACGTATGATAGTCCATTAACCCGGACGTTCTTCCCCTTCATGTGGATGCAAGTTTCAAGATTGATTTTCGAAGTCCCTCTTTTTTTCCTTCGGGACGAGTCGCAACTCGCATACTTATCATCATATGGTCCTTGTGCTGAAGTGCTTCATTCAACTGATAAATTTAACCTTTTTCTACTCTGTCGGTACTCCTTATAACCCGTAATTTATATAATTTATGGTTTATATAATTAATAGCAGAGTCTGGTCGGTTTCTTTGTAGCGCTTCTGAGGATCACTTCAAGGAAAATTGTCATTTTAGTTGATTGATTGATGAAGATAATAATAATCGAATACATTGTATCGATTAATACATTGTATTTTGACGTTAAACTCCCCCCACGCCATAATATGATGTATACACAACATGCAGAATATGCACATATTCCGTTGGAGGGGGGCCTCGTAGCCTGGTGGATAGCGCGCAGGACTCATAATTCTGTGGCGCGGGTTCGATTCCCGCACGAGGCAAAAACAAATGGGCAAAGTTTCTTTCACCCTGAATGCCCCTGTTACCTAGCAGTAAATAGGTACCTGGGAGTTAGTCAGCTGTCACGGGCTGCTTCCTGGGGGTGGAGGCCTGGTCGAGGACCGGGCCGCGGGGACACTAAAGCCCCGAAATCATCTCAAGATAACCTCAAGATATCCTAAAATAACCTAATTCCTACTGACCTAACAATTTATTTTGTTCTTTAAAATACAAACATAGCGGTTCCGTGTTCAGCGGTGCTAGACGTGACCAGCCCGCTCTGGCAAGCTGCTTTACACGGAATTCCGACTCTTAACTGTGAGCCCTCGACGACAGCAGCGCCACGTGCAGCCCGCTGCGTGCCTCTGAACCCTCCAGGTGTACCTCCTGGATGGCATCATTTAGCCAATTTAAAACATAATCTCCTTTGACTGATCTTATCAAAGCAGATTGGATTCTGCGGGCTGTTATCCAGATATCAATATAAAAAAATGATCGTGGGGGGGGGGGGGGAAGTGATGATTGCAGTAAATCAGGAGAATACAGAGGATAACCTAATTAAATAGGCTTTTAAGAACATTGAATCATTGAATAAATCCACAAGGGCCGTGACGAGGATTCGAACCTGCGTCCGAGAGCAGTTTGTCTCCTTTTATGTGTCTGGGATGCTCTCGGACGCAGGTTCGAATCCTCGTCACGGCCCTTGTGGATTTGTTCATTTGATGCATCACGCAATTGTGATATCTGTGCGTATTGAATCATGCTATCACTTGAGCTAGACGTGCTAGCGGAGAATGGCGAGTCTATTTCTTCTATTACGAACTAATTTAAGAAAATATTTAATGCGGAATAATCTGGCAGCCATTGTTCATTGACTTTCTCCATAGTCTTCCCAGCTTGGCGCCTTCTTTTGATAATTACTTCTTACTGGCCCCTCAGATATTTTTGAAACGCAAAAAGACGGCCCACAGCCTCCCCCCGAGAATCTTCGGCCCTTGGAACTCTTAAGAAAAATTCACCAAAAATCTATCTTTTTTTTTTTTTAGCGAGCCATTTGTCTGACCATTCCTTTTTCCATACAAGGGCCAGGCATTGTCTGGTGGGCCGCCAGTTATTTGCCAGCGTTGGGCGGGAACGCTGGGCGCGCGAAGCACCTTTGGCTGCCCGCCATCTTTCTCCAGCTGCCCACTCCCCTGCCTTTTTTTCTCCCCCTCCCCCCTCCCCTCACATTCATCGACGCCTGCCTTTTGACTCGTCTAATTGCTGCCATTTTCTGAGTTGCGTTGCCTAGATAAAATCTCTTCATCATTATCATAAATTATTTTGACTGATTTAATCTCTTCACACACACACACACACACACACACACACACACACACACACACACACACACACACACACACACACACACGCACACTCAGGAAATGCACCTCACGCACGCTCATGCTCATGCTCTCACACACGCACGTCTAGGCAGACCACGACACCAGTGATGAGGTATGAGGTCCGCGGCGCCACAACACAGCAGCAGCGCCGCTGGAAGCCGACTAATGATTTATTTTCTTACTGAGAGCAGTGGTCCTGAGCGGCCCTCGACGTGGCGGCCTATGCACAAGGCGTAATTACTTCCCATGACAAATGACGCTTGCGCTTCCTCGGTCCTGGGAAAAAAAATTCAACGGAAATTTTCTTGGTGCATTGGCACGTACATACGTACCCAGCGGGCATGCTTGCGCGCACGTGTACGTGCCTGTCAGTCATTTTCTAGCTGCCCTCACTACTAACGAAGGGGCCTGACGGCTGAGTAGACAGCGCTCGGGATTCGTATTCCTAAGGTTCTGGGTTCTATCCCCTTCGGAGGCGGAAACAAATGGGCAGAGTTTCACCCTGATAGCCCCCTGTTCACCTAACAGTAAATAGGTACCTGGGAGTTAGACAGCTGCTACGGGCTGCTTCCTGGGGGATGTGTAACAAAAAAAGGAGGCTTGGTGGAGGACCGGGGCGCGGAGACTACAACAGGAAAGAGTGTGGTGCTACAACAGGAAAGAGTGTGGTGCTACAACAGGAAAGAGTGTGGTGCTACAACAGGAGAGAGTGTGGTGCTACAACAGGAGAGAGTGTGGTGCTACAACAGGAGAGAGTGTGGTGCTACAACAGGAGAGAGTGTGGGGCTACAACAGGAGAGAGTGTGGGGCTACAACAGGAGAGAGTGTGGGGCTACAACAGGAGAGAGTGTGGTGCTACAACAGGAGAGAGTGTGGTGCTACAACAGGAGAGAGTGTGGGGCTACAACAGGAGAGAGTGTGGTGCTACAACAGGAGAGAGTGTGGTGCTACAACAGGAGAGAGTGTGGGGCTACAACAGGAGAGAGTGTGGGGCTACAACAGGAGAGAGTGTGGGGCTACAACAGGAGAGAGTGTGGGGCTACAACAGGAGAGAGTGTGGGGCTACAACAGGAGAGAGTGTGGTGCTACAACAGGGAGTGTGGCGTTATTAACACTGTGTGTGGTGCTTGCAGGTGCGGGTCGGGGCCGGCGTGTGTGTCCCAGGAGCGCCGGTGTGACGGCATTGAAGACTGTCCCAACGGCTCCGACGAGCGAGGCTGCCGTGAGTTACCCAGTTTTCCCGTCTTGCTGGTTCCTTCCTCATGCCACTTCTGTCTCGGCTTCTTCTTCTTCTACTTCCCCGCTACCAGTTCTGTCTCACTCTGTCCCTTCCCTTCCAACACTGATAAAACTCTCTCTCTCCGTTCCACACTTGTGGATCTTTTCATTTAAGTTCGTGATCAGATATTTTAAAGTCAGCCCTTCTACAACTAATCATTTTCTCCACTTCTCTCCCTCTCTTTATATATCTCTGTTCTCTGCATTATTCATTATTTTATCAACTTTAATCCTCTACCTTTTACATTACTGCAGACCATCCTCCTACTCCTTAATTCCATCATCTTCCCTAGATTCTCCCGTTCCCTCCCTCTGCCCAGGACTCCTCTAGGCTCTGCCTCTCTTCCCTAGGCTCTGCCTCTCTTCCCTAGGCTCTGCCTCTCTTCCCTAGGCTCTCTTCTCATTCCAAATGATTCTCTGAAACCTGTCAGACTGGCTTCTCTCGCGGTCTTAACCCTCCCAGCCCAACAACCCGTGTGTGATGTATGAAGAGGGACTCCCTCCACGTGATCCTCACCTCATTGTTCACGTCACACTTCCTCCTACATCCTTTCTTTTTCGTCTACCCTTTTCCTCCACCTTTTTCTTACCTCTTCAATGATCCCTATAGTCATTCCTTCTCATTAGGGGTCAAAATGACGCTGTATTAATATTAAGTTAACAGCGTCACTTGAGAATAATGAGGTGTATAGGTGGCCCCAGCATAGACTTGCAAAGAGTACTCTATCACATCAGTGGATGAGTTCTGTATTTGCACTGGTGATAAAAGCAATATTTGCGGACTATCGAAGCCATCGTTTTGATGTAACACAATTACCAACAGCAACACTAGGCCACCAAAGCAGCACGTTAGTGATCTGTTATTGTATACTTAATTCGAAGGCTGCGTGGATTGACCCCCGTAATATCCGCAATGTTTTCATGCAACACAGTGGTTGGACTTATAGTAAAAGTTCCTCGCAGTCTCTTGTTCCTCGCTGATGTAATACTTCTGCACTTTAGCAATGCTGTGATGTTCTCATTATGAATTGAAATACATTTATGTACGATATGCTGAGGATCATAACTGCCGCAAGGTGATTGTTTTATGTATAAACAATAAATGAGTGTGCAGAGTTGAAGTGTTGGGTTTATACTGTCCAGTGTCGCTGACGCCGACGCCGACGGACCCTGAGGCCCTGAAGGAGCAGCAGTGGACCAAGTACAACCGGGAGGGCCTGCTGCGGTACACGGAGGGCGGCCTTCCTTCCCGCGTGTGTGTCGACAACATCAACAAGACCCTCACCACGCAGGAGGCCCACCAGCTCATCCACAACATGGCCGAGGTTACCTGTGATCTATTGTCCTACGGGTGAGTCTTTCTGTACTTTCTTCTCTCCCTCCCTTAACCAGTCCTTCCCTTCCCTTATCTCCTTTCCACTTCCTTCCCCCCTTCTCTGTTGCTCTCTCTCTCTCTGGGGGTGGTCTTAGCGCAGGGGAGCCCCCTAGGAAGCAGGGGCCGCCAGGGAAGGGGTGGCTGCACTGAGCAGGAGGGTCATTAAGAAAGTTGGGAGACCAGAGAGAACGATAGGCTAATTTGTACAAGTTTTGCTGCCTGGAGAAGAAATGAGGCAAAGCAACAAGAGAAAATGTGGAAAGAAGTTGTGGGTCGAAAGAGCGAGGTGCTTGCCTGTCGCTGCTTGCCTGTCGCTGCTTGCCTGTTGGTGCTTGCCTGCGTCAACCTGGTGGGGACGGGGGGTTGGGTGAAGAATATAGCTTTATGGAGCCCAGTTTCATAGCTATTTTGTACCTGGTTCACAGTTCTTTGTTGTATTGCTATTTGAGCTGTTGACGGAGGTGGCTTTCCATCCTTCTTGTTATTGTGCTGCACTTTTAGACCCCCAGCCGTGCACGAGGGAGGGAATTATCAGGGGGAAAGCACCAAGCCATTACGACTATATAGCACTATTACTTCAAGCTTCTTTTTTGTGTTGTACGAGATGCGCAGTGAATGTTGGTGCTGTGTAATGGTGACCAGACCACACACTAGAAATTGAAGAGACGACGACGTTTCGGTCCGTCCTGGACCATTCTCAAGTCGATTGTGATCGACTTGATTGTCACAATCGACTTGAGAATGGTCCAGGACGGACCGAAACGTCGTCGTCTCTTCAATTTCTAGTGTGTGGTCTGGTCATCATACTTCAGCCACGTTATTGTGACTCATCGCCTGCATTTGGTGCTGTGTATTCTAGTATACATCTGACGCAAGCTTTCTAAATGACTTATCAGTTTTTAAGATTTGTAGGTTTTTAAAGTCATTCTTATGTTTACCGTTTTCCCAAATACTGCTTCCAGTTACGCTGGAATATGTGCTTCCGATGCTAAAGATGCAATTATGTTAACTCGCAGATCTTTATCCTTCTGCCTCCTGTTGTTTAAGATTCGCTACCGAGAACAAAAAGTTCCAAGCAGCACGGGCTATGGTGAGCCCGTATACTTTTCTGCCTCCTGTTGTTGCCTTTCCCCTTATGACGCCGTTCAGTACGGCCTCCAAATTCCTATTGTACCCCATCTTGATTACCTTACACTTGTTGATGTTGAACCCCACCAGCCACTTTTCTGCTCATTCCTGTAGTTTATCAAAGTTTAAAAGTAGCATTCTAGTCGTCTTCAGCTTATATTCTCATTTCTTTGCGTCGTCTACAAACACTGTCTGGTGCACTTCACCTCTGGTAGAACATTCATGTAGATTATGAACAGCGTGCTACATATCTCTAACCTAACATCTCCTTTCTCACTTTGAGCCTCTGTTTCCAGTTTGTCAGTGCCTCTCCATCTTATTCATCAGCATTTTGCGAGAAACGATATCAAATGCTTTTTGGCATTCCCCAAAAAAATTGCCTACTAAGCCTTCTCTTCCCTCTCGTAACTAGGTGATGTCTGTTGCAGAACCAGACATATACTCAGGCTGTCATTTTGCCTCTCGTCTCTTTCTAAATATTTTCTCCTGTAGTTTGCATAGAATCCATTTCAGTGATGCTGTGATGAACAGTGTCTGTTTATGGCTTCGTGTCTCCCGTTTTTTGTAATGTTTGGTTTGCAGTTGCATTTTTTTCCAGATTTTCTGGAGTTCTCAAGTCTCTAGTGTTATATTAAAATGTATAGTTAGGGGATAAGAGGACGAATGTAGCCTCCTTTAGTTAACTACTGTGATACCTGGTCTCGTCTTGCGGCCTCTATTGTATCTAGTTCCACTAGGTCTCTCTCTCTCTCTCTCTATCTCTCTATCTCTCTCTCTCTATCTCTCTCTCTCTATCTCTCTCTCTCTCTCTATCTCTCTCTCTATCTCTCTATCTCTCTATCTCTCTATCTCTCTATCTCTCTATCTCTCTCTCTCTCTCTCTCTCTCTCTCTCTCTCTCTCTCTCTATCTCTCTATCTCTCTATCTCTCTATCTCTCTATCTCTCTATCTCTCTATCTCTCTATCTCTCTATCTCTCTATCTCTCTCTCTATCTCTCTCTCTCTCTCTCTCTCTCTCTCTCTCTCTCTCTCTCTCTCTCTCTCTCTCTCTCTCTCTCTCTCTCTCTCTCTCTCTCTCTCTCTCTCTCTCTCCCCTTTTCTCACTGCTGTTTTGTCTGGCGTTCCCTCCGGGTGTTGGGTAGGAGATGGTAGAGTGGGTACGTGGGAGATGAAGAGGTGGGAGTGGAACAGGGGAATGTGGGAGTGGGGCTTGTGGGAGCGCTCACGCACAAGGGGTGACACACAAAGTGCGCCCGTCCGTACGAGACAATTATAGATTTATCGTCCAATTGTCATGGAATGAGCGGGTCGCCCCCTTCCCCCTCCTCTCCCCACTGACGCGATCGGCGTAAACGATATATTGTCACTAATAAATCCACATATCAATAAAGGCCATATATCGTTTCCTTTTAAGCCTATTATTGCAATCTTTTTCCTCGTGTCTGTGTATTTCTCCTGTATTTCTACCTCCTCTCCTATTTCTTTATCCCTTCACTACTATGTCCGCGCTGTTCGCGCCTTTTCTTCTCCGCCATTTTCCATCCGTTGTTACTAATATTTACTTTTCATTTCACCCTCGTATTTTCCCGTCACTTTACTCGTGGTTTAACTGATTCATTTCTTTGATTTCTTGCTTTTCTCGCGTTTATTGTTGTCGTTCCTTAATTCCTTCCTTCTTCCGATCCTCTGCCAGCATATCATCCATCATGCGGCGTCTCTCTCTCTCTTTCTCTCTTTCTTTTTCTCTTTCTCTCTCTCTTTCTCTTTCTCTCCATCTCCCTCTCTCTTTCTCTCTCTCTCCCTCTCTCTCCCTCTCTCTTTCTCTTTCTCTCTCTCTCTCTCACTCTCTCACTCTCTCACTCTCTTTCACACACACACACACACACACACACACACACACACACACACACACACACACACAGTTTGACATCAAATTGACAGCTTAGACATAACTGCCAATTTTGTCCGAGATTTGCCATAACGAGCAGCCATACCCTGGTCTCCCGCCCATTACTTCGGGCGCCCCTTACTACCGGTCGTCCCTGCCCATTAAGCAGGTGCCATTACCCATTAAGCACCGCCATTGGCTATTATCCAAAACCCATCACCGCGTCGCTCACTACCAATCACTGCTAGGACTACATTCATCCCTTCATCCTCAGCTGGAGGGCGGCCCTCTTGCCTAGCTTCAACCTCCTGGTGCGGGCATCATGAGGTCAACCTCCTGGTGTGGGTCCCCGGGAGGTCAACCTTGGTGTGGGGGTCCCGGGAGGTCAACCTTGGTGTGGGGCGCCCCAGGAGGTCAACCTTGGTGTGGGGGTCCCGGGAGGTCAACCTTGGTGTGGGGCGCCCCAGGAGGTCAACCTTGGTGTGGGGCGCCCAGGAGGTCAACCTTGGTGTGGGTCCCCAGGAGGTTATATCAGTCACCTTGATGTGTTTTAATTTTCTATGTTATGAGGTATTGTTCCATTTTTCAATGCTTCGATGCTCTTTTTTTTCCCCCTCGTTAAATTTTCGTTGTGTCCTCTTGACCTCAGATCCTGCTTCCTCCCCTCTTTGCCCCTTGAATCTTGCCCCTCATTCATTTCCTCTCTCTCGGACAACTTATCCCTCTCACCATACCCCTCATCTGGTCCCTCCCGATCCCTCTCGGTCCCCATATCACCCCTCACCTCCCCTCACCCCCTGGCCCCCCCCCCCTCTCTGCCCCTAGAAACGTTATCGCTCTCCCCCAACACCCCCTCTGTGGCCCCCTCTCTCCTTCCCCCCCCTCCTTCAGCAACCTTTCCAATTTTCTCTTGGTGATTGAATGTCCGCCGAAATAAGAATCATTTCCTCCCCTCACACCGCCATAAATTCTGGCAGTATCAACACTCTTCCCCTCCCCCTACCCCCTCCTACCCCTTCCCCTCCCAGCTGTCAATTATTTATCACAAGAATTTATACATTATTTAGCGACTTTCCTCTATACCACCGCCGCCGTCTTCCCGTAGATGTGAGTAGCCGTCCTCACCGCTCACTCTTGCTTCACCTCTCCAGTTTCCTCCTGGTCGAGTTGTGCTCACGAGTATAATGATGATTTCTTTCACTTAGAACACAAAACAAACGGATCGGAATTAGTACAGGAATTCCCCCCAAAATTGGAATGTGTGCTTGACCAACTTGTTAGTGCTACAAGATGATAAGTCAAAGAGATAATAGATTGCATTTTCGTAAATAGCCTGAAGGCTTTCGACACTGCCTTACAAGGCAAGCAGGCCGGTATATCGGGAATGGTGGTAAGGAGCAGCTTCCTGTTTTCGGGAAGGAGCTTCCTGTTTTCGGGAAGGAGCTTCCTGTTTTCGGGAAGGAGCTTCCTGTTTTCGGGAAGGAGCTTCCTGTTTTCGGGAAGGAGCTTCCTGTTTTCGGGAAGAAAACAGAGTCACAACAAGGAGGGAGAGGTGATGGGTGGTGTAGTACCTCTAGGCTCGTTACTACGGCCCATCCTCTTCCTAATGTACGTAAACGATCAAACAGGAAATATATGTTTGTTGATTTTAAACTAGCGAGACGGTTCAGAACTGAGGAGGATTGCAATCCATTACAAGATTAGGTCTCCAGAGATGGTCTCAGAAATGGGTTCTGGACTTTAGCCCAAAGGCAAAATTGTGAGGAATAGGAGTATGAGGATTCAAATACACAACAGCATCTAGAGAAGGCAACTTCCCAATTTCAGAGAGTTGGAAGTAAGCGTAACTCGAAATCTTAACACCAAATGCACACATCGGCAGGATAAAGTCGGCAGCATATTCACGACTGGAAACGTTGGGATAACCTTCAGGAACTTGGGCAAACGATCCCTTCGAACGCTTATTTACATAAATCTGTGAAATCCATTCTTGAGTATGCTGCCCTGGCATGAACCCCCACCTAAGACATAACAAAACAAAACAAGAAAGAGTCCAAAGTTGTTGTTGTTTAAGATTCGCTACTTGGAACAAAAAGTTCCAAGAGCGGTTCTACGGGCTCACCATAGCACGGGCTATGGTGAGCCCGTAGTGGACTTTGAGTCCAAAGGCATGCAACGAGGCTCGTTCCAGGACCAAGTGGGCTGAGCTACCAAGAACGGCCGAGAAAACTGGGCCTCAATAAACTGGTGGAAGGAAGAAATGGTCAGACATGATGATGATGTACAAGATACAGGCGATGAGTCACAGTTACGTGGCTAAAGTAAGTTGACCAGACCACACACTAGAAGGTGAAGGGACGACGACGTTTCGGTCCGTCCTGGACCATTCTCAAGTCGATTGTGCGTCGAAACGTCGTCGTCCCTTCCACCTTCTAGTGTGTGGTCTGGTCAACATGATGTACAAGATTTTATTAAGCGGAATTGACCGCTCGGAGAAGCGGTGTCCGAAGTGAGGAACAGAAGACTTCTTTACACAACTATACATGTATTACATCATATTAAATTCAGGTAAATTGTGAAGCTAACAAACTTTTATAACTTATATTTGTTACAAATTTCTCTACTTTTGATACAAGAAAATTCGATTATATTTCTTTCAATAAAAGTTTTATATTTATAGTTTGAATGTAACCTGAGGCAGGGGGTACACCTGAGGCAGGGGGTACACCTGAGGCAGGGGGTACACCTGAGGCAGGGGGTACACCTGAGGCAGGGGGTACACCTGAGGCAGGGGGTACACCTGAGGCAGGGGGTACACCTGAGGCAGGGGGTACACCTGAGGCAGGGGGTACACCTGAGGCAGGGGGTACATCCAAATCCTTCATGTGGAGGTGGTGACGGAACTTTCCATAACTTAACAGCATTAAGTTTAAGAGTGACGTGTTGCAGGGGCGTGGAGCTGGTGGAGGTGGTAACTGAGGACGTGTTCGACCACGTGCCTGGCCTCGGCTACGTGCAGATCACCGACGTGTACTCCACCAACATCACCTTCGAGCCCGTAGAGTGTCCTCGTCGTACCGTCGTCTACATGGTCTGCTCCGAACTAGGTACGTGCCTTCGTCACCTGTTGAGTACTCGATAACCCACTGCACTCTATGTGGAACACATCTTAAACGCTGTCTGTGGAGGACGGATGAAAATATGAATATTCGAGTTATTCAATTCAATTTCTTTCTTTTTTTTAGCATTGTTTAAGTGTTGTACATAACGAGTTCTACTCAACTTTTTAATGCCGATTATAATATTGACCAGTTGGTTTCAATATTAATATGTATTTTTCATGTATTTCCTTAATTCTGGTTTCTGAACAGCATCTTAACTCTTGATGTTAAGGTGTCTTTATTTGTTAGTGTTACGTATTATGTATAGGTAACACACTTGCCCCTTTGACTGTTACCTCGTAGGGACTTTGCAAACGCATTTGATACATGCAACCATCGAGTGATAATCCATAAAATGAGGTCCAAAGGCATAACAGGCAAAGTGGGGGTGATGGATATTCAACTTCCTGAGAGAGCGCATAAAGTATCGGTTAACAAATGACAAAATTAAGTCCAAGAGCCCTGAGAAGCTCTGTGCCTGGAGGCACCCCGCGGCGCTCCTCTTGCGTCGCTTGATTAACCTCGTATCACACAAGATTATCAATTATCCTCGTATAAATCCCAGCTTCATGCCATATACACTCTCGGACAGTAGTACCGTATGAACATCAGAGGCCCCATGGCTCCTCAACCTCCTTCCCGTAAATATAAGATATATTACCGGAACACAATGAAAAGTGTTTTCAAGACAGCTGAACAAGTTCCAGCAAGAAGTGCCGAATCGGCAGAGTTATAATGGATGTGCTATTCATATAAAGCTGTTCCAAGTAGCAGCTGTATATGAAATTATAACGAAACAAATCTAGCCCTAGGCCGGGGTTGGAGAGAACACACGAAAACGACTACAGACGAGCTATTTGGTAGTACACGAACTGTCGTGGAGACAGATTCCATTCACAACATTAAATGTAAAGTTACATAGTCAAATATGGCTCCAGAACATGTGCGCTTGCTTAAATGTTACAAGGTAG